GTATCACTTTTGCACTATGGTAATGTTGAAAACCTTTAAGTTGAATCATCCGGGGCGCCTGGGTGCCTCAGTCGTTAAGCGTCTGCCTTTGGCTCAGGTCATGGTCCCAGGGTCCTGGGATCGAGCGCCGCATCGGGCTCCCTGCTCAGCGGGAAGCTTGCTTCTCCCTCTCCCACTCCCCCTGCTTGTGTTCCCTCTCTCGCTGTGTCTCTCCCTGTCAAATAAATAAAATCTTTAAAAAAAGAAGTTGAATCATCCTAAATTGGGATCTATCAGTGTATACAATTATATTTGTCAATTATTTCTCAATAAAATTAGAAAAATAAAAAATAAAATAAAATAATCATTTTCTTTTGGGTTGTTTATACAAGAAAAAAAAAGAATTTGTGGAATGAAACAGTGCATGGAAGAGTGGCCCACGTGTCCACGGGGGAGGAATGGATAAACAGAATGAGGAGTAAACCTACAACGGAATGTTATTTAGTCTTAAAGGGGCAGGGGATTCTGACACCTGCTACAACAAGGATGAGCCATGAGGACAATTGTGCCAAGTGAAATCAGCCAGGGAGGGAAAGACAAACTGTATGATTCCACTTATACAGTTTCCAGTTCACTGGGATGGAAAGCGGGAAGGCAATTTCCAGGGACTGGGAGGAGCGAGGAACGGGAAGCTTTTTGAAAAATTGTCAGTTCGGCTTTTTCCACTTTTCCCATTCTGACTTGGTTGTCCTGGAGTCAGGCACCATATCTTTTCCCAAACTCTGGAAGCTCTGGTCACTGGAACACTGGTCAAGGGTGGCCGGAGCTGAGAGCCACAGGACCAGATGACTTCCAACTGCCCGTCTGGTTTGAGCACAGACAGCTCTCAGGAACAGCCCCAGGGCGGACAATCGCCACTTCACAGTCTCTATCACTGGTAGCAGGTTTGCTTAGAAGTATCACCATTTGGGGACAGAGGAGCCATTTTTAATGAAAAAAATTTGAATTTCCAGAAATGACTCGTATTCCTTCCATGTTGCTTCTTTAGTCAAAGGTTGACTTCTGTCTCTGCTGGACACAGGAATTCCCGAGCCCTTCTGTTTCTCTGCACCAATTGACTCAAAACAGCTTTCCTTGGCTGCCGTTTGATCGAATGGAACTGTGCTCCATCCAGGGGGACAAAAGCCAAGACTGGGGACTTCTGCAAAGAAGCTACACTTGTGAAGTTGAGGCTCCTTCCTGTGATGACCTGTATAGATGAGTTCTGCAGACATCTCTGGATGATGCCATCCTAATGCGTTTTTATTTCTCTATATTTATGCCAATAAAAATGCTGATTTGCACATCCAGGGTGAAATGTTTACTTTTGACTTTAAGGATCAAAAGTAGCTTCATACGGCCTGCTCCCAGACTTCTCTCTACCACTCCCCATTTTTCCTAACTCGGGGGTGCTTGGAAGCTGTGGTCTCTGAGACAGAGAAACGGAAAGCAGCTGAGTCATAAACTCTTCCAAGGTCTGCTTCAACTCTGATGTTCTGTCACTCTGCCCCTTCTAAACAAGGAGCTCTGTGAAAGTTTTAGCCTAGGGATTCTTGAGCCCAGCATGTAATGTTTCCTGAACTGGATCTATATGCCTAAGGAACATAAAAATAATTTTGGAGGTTTGTGAGTTCTGTAGGGGACTCCACTGAGTCTTTGGTGATTACATAAGCATACATTCATGAAGACATACGGCAAATAGTGGGGACTCTGTGCACGTTCCTTTCTCTTTCCTGCCAGATTTTTTGTAGTGGAAAATTCTCTTGCTCTTCATCTCAGGGAGATATCTTTCCTCCTTCAGCCTTTGTCTGCCTCAAGTCCCTCAGATGCTGTTAGGCCCAGAGGTAGAAGAATTTTACAAGGGAGTTAAATCGGGAACAGCACATTTTTGAGAAGGCCACAGCATTAAATTAATGGAATTAAAGCACGATCCCCATGAACACCATCAGGTGCCCCATAAATTTTGATTGACATTGAAGTACATAATGCAATAGCCTTTTTTCCTTTAAATGTATAACATATGGAGGAAGTCAGGTGGAAAATGGTTTCCTGGCACAGCTTTGGAAAGGAAGCTGTGATGCAGTTGAAATGTCCTGTGCAGATTAGGGAATGGAGGGACCTCGGCATGAGAGACATCCCCCCACCCTGTCCCCAGAAGCCAGGAGCATGTCGTGTGTTAGCTCATGGAATCCTCACAAACCTTCATGAGTGAAGTGATATTACCTCCCCTTTAAGGTGAGGAAGCTGAGGCTGGAGCACTTTGCCTCAGTAGTGAGGTGGGAGCCTGACCTTGAGGCTCACACAGACTTGGGACCCATCCGGCTTCCCTGTGACCTTGGATGCTTTGCTTAAGTTCACAGCCATCAAATGTCCTCATCCGTAAAATGGGATAATGGTGGTACCTCCCTGTGACAGAGGCCCTTTCTTCTCTAGAATCGAAACAGTGATTTTAGGTGTGCAATGGCCATCAAGGTTAAAGAATGCATTTCTCACTTTCCCTTGCAGCTAGGTGTGGGCTGTGACAACATTTTAGCAAATGAAATGAGAGCAAATAGAAAGAACGTCTTCCAAGTACCTGTCCTTAGGAGGCAGCCCACATGCCCACCGCTGCTGCTGTTTTCCCTTCCTCTTCCTTCTTTCTTTTCCCTAGTTTTTTGTGCTGGCTGGAATGTGGTCATTATGGCTGGAACTGAAGCAGCCATTTTGGACAGAGCAGATGGGTCTCTCACATGTGGAATGTCATAGAAATCCCAGATACTGGACTTAAGATTGAGATATGGGCAAGAAATAAAGTTTTCTCTTAAGTCCCTGCAATTTTAGATCTTATTAACTCAAATCAAATCCCGATACATTTGCTAATAGAAATGTTATGAGGTTAAATATGTATGTGAAATATATATATTAAGCCCCCAATAAGTGTTACCTTTTGTTGTTATTGTTTTATTACTATCATTACTATTACTATTATTATTATTACCTCAACCCACCCAGGGTGGGCTGGATGACTGATCTGGAATTCTGTCCTGTGGCTGTTTTACATCAAAGCCATTATATTTTTTTATCGTCTGATTCTTACTAAGGTGAGGGTGGATGCCGTGTCCATCCAAAGCTGAGAGCAAAGAGACAATCATATTGCCTATGAACAAGAGGATAGGCTGTGGTGTTACCCTCTGCCTGTGTTTGCACCCTAGATCTGACTCCTAGTAGCTGGGTCTTTCTCACCACCCCAGGCGTGGTCATACTGACTCTGCGTGCCCTTCCAGGCCCTGTGAGGATGAGCCCCATTCCTGAGTTAGCTCAGGAGATATGGGCCACACCTGCTTCTGTTGGCTTCGGATGACTGCTCACAGCCAGGAAGTTCTGAGCAAGGGGCAGGAAAAGAAAGATAGGAAATATAATGCTGATGTGGAGCGAGCTCTTATTCTGTGCTGGGCACTGCTCTGAAAGGATTTACCATGTGCTTTATTTAAACCCAGAACATCTGTATTCGGTAGATTCTTTACAGATGAGGAAACAGAGGCAGAGAGAAGCTGAGGTGACTTTCCCAAGGACACACAGTGTAACTGGCAGAACCAGAGAGTTCAGGCGGGCAGCCCAACTCAAGGGCTCTCCTCCTTGCCCTAAACAAAGGGGCTTTCTGAGAGTTCCTGCTCCAAAAAGAACAGGTGGGCAGGGTAGCTTCTGTGTCAAAAGGCCAGTGCCACATGAATATTCTCTGATTCTTTGGCTTATCAGGGAGAAGCCAGTTTGAGCTGGGAAGGCAGAAGACCCTCTGGAGGGCAGTGGGAAAGAAGATCAGAAGGAAATGGAAAACTAGGGGTCTTTATTTCCCCCAGGTCATGTTGCCTGACTTGGTACGGTACCGATCCCCACTGCAAGGGCCAGAGTCTATCCCAATAATGATAACTGAGCACTCCCAGGGGAGCACTCCCACTTTTTTGTCCCGAGGAAATGATGGGTTTCTCCGCACCTGTTACCAGAAACGCAAGGAGAGTTCCAATAGCTGCCTTCTCCAGCAGCCCTTTGTCGCCTCATCCTTCCATCCCTTCTTCCCTGCCACAGGCTGTCTGGGGGGGACATGGACTTGGATCTCTGTTTCAGAGACTTTTCTCCTTCTTCAGGCCAGCTTAGAATCTTCCAGTGATGGCTCAAAAAAGAAAAAAAATCAGATGAGAACACTTTTTAAAAAGATTTATTTATTTATTTGAGAGAGAGAGAACACAAGCGAGGGGTAGGGGCAGAGGGAGAAACAGGTTCCCCGCTGAGCAGGGAGCCCAATGCAGGGCTTGATCCCAGGACCCTGGGATCATGACCTGAGCCGAAGGCAGACGCTTAACCGACTAAGCCACCAGGTGCCCCTAGATGAGACCACTTTCATGCTTAAAACCATCCAACGCTTCCCACTATAATTAGAGTAAAATCTGAAATCATTTCTTTGGTCCAAAGGTCTAAGTGATCTACTACCTGATTATTGTTTCTGACCTGATTTCTTAAGCCCTCTCGCGCTTGTTTTTTTCGGCTGCAGCTATGCTGTGTGCCTCAGGGCCTTTGTACCTGCAGTACCCTCTGTCTGGAATGCTGTCCTTCTCATCATTCAGTCTCAGCTTAAATGACCTCTCAGGGACACCTCTCCTGACCAGCCTCCCCAATCGGTCATTGCTTCAGTAAACAATGCCACCCCTCCCCACTGATTTTCTGAATACTTAGAATAATTTGTACTTATTTTGTTAACTGATCTGCTTGTTTGCATACTGTCTGTCTCTCTAACCAGAGTGAGCTCCAGGAGGGGAAGGGGCCTTGCGGGGTATGGAGGGTATTGCTCATCTCATAAAAAATGCTGTACAATTGGATGGAATGATGTTTCTGAACTACTTGGCACATAGTGCTTCCCAAGTGACATTTTCTGGGTAATCATGCTCCCCAAATATGTTTGAAATCTAACCTTTCACGCTTTCTTTTATTTTCCATGTTTTATCTCTCAGACACAAAGACTGCCAAAAGATAGTGAAGGCATTCACAAAGGCATTTCTTTCAAAGGATCCTTGCAGCAGCACAGAACAGGACTATCAGCCGCTAATGGAGCTGACAGATGAACCAGTCCCTTGCAACAAGGTAACGGGGGCAAGTGACTGATTTTTAAAATGGACGATAAAAGCCAAAGGAAGGGGTCACGGGACCACATTTTTTAAAAAAATATTTTATTTATTTAAGAGAGAGAATGAGATAGAGAGAGCATGAGAGGGGGGAGGGTCAGAGGGAGAAGCAGACTCCCCGCTGAGCAGGGAGCCTGATGCGGGGCTTGATCCCGGGACTCCAGGATCATGACCTGAGCCGAAGGCAGTCGCTTAACCAACTGAGCCACCCAGGCGCCCACAGGACCACATTTTGACCAGAATGAAGGAAGAGGAAAATCTGGATGTTCGAATGTATGTGTGGTGGGCCGAGATGAAGTTTGTGGGGTTTTGGGGGGACTGGGATCTCATCGGGGTTTAGGACGTCTGGGGGAAGGACAGTAAGAGAGAGAAATGGGAACGGGGAAAGAGGAAGGAGACCTGGCCAAAGATCAGGCAAAGCGGGCCTACCTGAAACCCAACCCAACCTAATCCAAACAAAACGACCCAAACTTACATCATTGCCAAACTCTCCCCTGACCCCTGACAATGATGATGTTAATAATGACTCACAGTCACCCTGCAGAATAAACAGGTCAAGAATCAACATCCCCATTTTACCAGTGAGAAAACCTAGGCTTGGTGAGGTCAGGGGTCAGTGACGGCTCCAGTCTGATGGCCTCGAAAGTGACCAGCTGAAATGTCAATAGCACAGGATTAGGAACCAAAGAGGCCTGGGTTTTATACACTGATTGTCCCGGAAAAGGTGTGTAATGGGTACGTCTTGCGTAAAGTCCGCATTCAAGGTGAAAATTCAGTGTATGACTGGTCATCTTTGTGAAACCCCCAAGCCAGCCCCATAGTACAGCCGCTCATCCTGGTGGTGGAGAGCTGGGGTTAGGGTGGAGCTCCTGCCTGGAGCTCGGGGGGCTGCTTGGTAAATGACCCCCCGTGACAAGTCTCGAGGCCACAGACACGGGACTAGGCACTTTATTTGCAATGGTCTCATTGCATCTCCTCATGCCCCTGAGTTCCTTACGGTTATTGGTTGCCACCCGTACCATTTTGCAGATGGGGAAATCGAGGCATAGCGAGGCTTTGGCCGCCCAGGGTCGGACAACTGTAAGGGCTGATGAGGGCTTCCCTCCAGGGCCCACGCTTCAGCCATACCCTCCACAGCCTCCTGTCAAGAAGGGATAGACCCACGGGCTCAAGATCGTTCTGAAATTTTACCTTCTCTACCTTTACAAGGGACTCTGAAAAAACTCACTGTATTTGCTTTTTTTTTCTCTTTCTTTTCTCTTTGTGGGGCTAGGAGAGAGTTGGGGAAAGAAGCAGAGGTTACAGAGCCTGTGAAGAATCAAAGAGTGCTTTTCCCAGAAAACAGCACAGAGACAAAATGGTTTTGTAGATAAATTTAGGAATTTCCTAATGTCTGCTCCAGATGTGTTCTGGTTCTGTGTTTATAGTAAGATTCTGATCAATGGCTTTCAGACTTTTTTTTGCTGCCACCAAAAATAATAAGGCATTTCATATTATGACCTAGGAGACACACACACACACACACACACACACACACACACACACACAACCTCTACCCATGCTCTCAGGTTCACACACAGAAAGCACTGATGTGGTCAACAACACCCACCTTTACTCTCTATGATTTTCTCTGATATTTTGTTTTTCTTTAATTTAAAAAGACGTGGATTTGTGTGTGTGTGTGTGTGTGTGTGTGTGTGTGTGTGACTTACTGAATTGCTCTCGATGACAGGTTGTGTTTTTCTTTCCTAGACCCTTTTTTGGAGCAAATCCAGTGAGCTGGCGCATGACTACACGCGGGTCCGGCAGGACATGTTCACGCTGGAGGACACACTGCTGGGCTACATGGCGGACGGCCTCAAGTGGTGTGGAGACCCAGGCTCTTCTGGTGAGGATCAGGGCCTTCTGGGGTTGCCCAGGGACGTGTCGGGCAAAGGAGCCCTGGGCTCTGCGAGGGGCCCTGGCAGATCAGTACCTGCCCTCATGCCATCTCCACCCTTAATGACAATCCAGGCTCATGTAAAATAGCATTCTTTAGATCAACTCAGTTTTCTAGAAAAATCAACTTCAGAGTTTGGGGTTGTCCATGTTCCCTGATTCCCTCCTTCCTGAGAGCCAGTGTAGCTGCTTCTGGATTGGAGGTGTTTTGTTTTCTCTGAGGCCTTTATTCAGGACTAAAGAGTGCTAGAGCCGGATGCAGCCTGAGAGGGAGCCAGGCCAAAGCCCTTGCTCCACAGAATGGCCGCAGCCACGGCCATGGCATCAGAAGACTGGGCTCTTCTGTGTCTCAGGCCAGTGTGGGGCTTTGCTGTCATTTTTCAGAGGCCACCTTACCTTGTCCAGAAAGACCCAGAACACCACACTGTGGGAAGGTTCTTTCTACTCAGAAAACTCTATTGAGCCCGTTTTCACTTCTTTTCTTTCTCTTTTTATTTACAGTGTGCATATTTTTACTTTATATTGTTTTATTCTTATTTTTATTGCTTTTGGCTGTTTTTTTTAAAGATTTATTTATTTGAGAGAGAGAGCATGAGGGGGAGGAGCAGAGAGAGAGAGAAAGAGATAGAACCCTCAGGCAGACTCTCTGCTAAGGGTGGAGCCCAACTCGGGGCTTGATCCCAGGACCCCGAGATTTTGACTTGAGCCGAAATCAAGAGTCAGATGCTTAACCGACTGAGCCACCCAGGCACTCCACTTTTGACCGTTTTAAGAAACTTATTATACGTGCTGCCGAAGCAAGCACTTAAAAAAACTTATTATAAAACTTCATCTCAGGCTTACATTATTTCCAATTACAAAAATGATGCATGCTTATTTGCAAAGTACTTGCATGTTACAGAAATGTGTAAAAGTAAAAAATGAAGGTCGCCCTTCCCCTTCCCCACTCCTCGGTTTCCATATCATTTCTCAAAAGGGGAATGTTGTCAACAATTCGGCATGAATCCTTCCACACATGGCCCCACACTCACATAAACACATATGTTAAAAGGTACACATACTATTGTGCAACTTTGCTTTATTCGTTTAGAATTAGCAGATAGAAATACAGCCATATTGGGGTGCCTGGGTGGCCCAGTCGGTTGAACCCCAGACTATTGGTTTGGGCTCAGGTCATGATCTCAGGGTCATGAGACTGAGCCCCGGGTCAGGCTACACGCTCAGTGCAGAGTCTGCTTGGGTTTCTCTCTCCCTCTCCCTCTGCCCCTCCCTTCTGTGCTCTCTCTCTTTCTCTCCCTCTCTCTAAAATAAATAAATGAAATCTTAAAAAAAAAGAAATACAGCCATATTTTTTAAAAGCCCTCATTTATCTCCTCTATGGATGTTATCATAATTTATTTAACCAATTTCCTATTGATGGACATTGAGCTTGAGATATTGCTATTGCAACTGTTGCAAGGAGCACTTGTGTATACAACACACACACACACACTCTCACAAACACACACTCACACACACCACGGGCACAGGTACATCTGCCTGCTTGGGGAAGTACTTCAGAAAGATAAATTTCTAAAAATGGAATTTCAGTGCCGAACAAATTGCGGTAGAAACTGACACATTGTCATTCAAAAGGTGGTAACCATTTACACTCTTATCAGAATATGGGTTACTCATTTGCCCAAACTCTTACCAACAGTGGTTCAACTTATAAAAATGTCTTTGCCAATCTGATAAGGAAATAATACCTTGACTTGTTTTGCTTTGCTCTGACAGTGAGGCTGATCATATTTATTTTTTTAATGGTAGATATTTCTATTTCTTTTATAAACTGGCAGTTCGTATATCTCAGCTATTTTTATTGGAATGCCTGTTATTTTCTTATAGATGTTCTGTATAAATTCAAAATAGTAGCTAATACTTACTGTTCACTTACAAAATCTCAGCCATTAGGGGCACCTGGGTAGCTCAGTTGGTTAAGTGACCAACTCTTGATTTTGGCTCAGGTCATGATCTCAGGGTCGAGCCCTGGGATCAAGCCCTGTGATTGAGCCCCGCATCGGGCTCCATACTCAGTGTGGAGTCTGCTTGTCCCTCTCCCTCAGCACCTCCCCCCATTCATGATCTCTCTCTCTCTCAAATAAAATCTTAAAAAAAAAAAGAGGGGCGCCTGGGTGGCACTGTCAGTTAAGTGTCTGTCTTTGGCTCAGGTCATGATCCCAAGATTCCTGGGATCGAACCCTGCTTCGGGCTCCCCCTCATTGGGGAGTCTGCTTCTCCTTCTCCCTCTGCTCTTGCCCCCCAACCCTTGCTTGTGTGCTTTCTCTCAAATAAATAAAGTCTTAAAAAAAGTCACATGCTCTGCCAACTGAGCCAGTCAGGAGCCCCTAAATTTTATAGTTTTTGCCATGCTTCCTGCTTTCCATTTTGAATTTTCCATTTTGCAAGTCAGCTTTTCTTAGTCATTCATTTAATTCTTTTAGGTTTTAAATTTGTTTACCATAAAACCTTCTCATTTTAGCTTTATTTTTCAATTCTAAATCATGTACTCTCTGAAAGCAGGGCTTCTATCTGATTCATCTCTTTCTCCCCAGGACCTAACACTCAATTAAGGTTTGTGTAGTCAAGTGCAATGAGTAAAAAAACAAAAAGTATGTACACATATGCACACACATACCTATATACACACACAACGGAGTATTATTCATTCTTTTTTAAAAAAGAAAATCCTTGGGGCGCCTGGGTGGCTCAGTCGTTAAGCGCCTGCCTTCAGCTCAGGTCATGATCCTGGGGTCCTGGGATTGAACCCCAAGCCCCGCATCGGGTTCCCTGCTCAGCGGGAAGCCTGCTTCTCCCTCTCCCACTCCCCCTGCTTGTGTTCCCTCTTTCGCTGCCTCTCTCTCTGTCAAATAAATAAATAAAATCTTAAAAAAAAGAAAAGAAAATCCTGCCATTTGCAACCATACAGATAAATCTGAGGGCATTGTGCAAAGTGAGATAAGCCAGACAGAGAAGGACAAATACTGCATGATATCACTTATATGTAGAATCTTAAAAAAAAAAAAAAAAAGTCAAACTCCTAGAAACAGAGAGAAAAGTGGTTGCCAGGGGCTGGGATGTGGGGCAATGAGGGAGAGGTTGGTAAAAGGGTACAAACTTTCAGTTATAAGATAAATAATGTCTGAGGTTCTGATGTACAGTATGGTGATTATAGTTGCTAACACTGTATTATATAATTGAAATTTGCTGAGAGTAGAACTTAAATATTCTCTCATACACATAAATCAATATGGGAGGTGATAAATGTGTTAAATTATCTCCATATGGGGGTATCCTTGCACAATGTCTCTCTCTATATATATATAAATCCTCACATTGTCCACTTCAAATATATATATAAATCTCTCACATTGTCCACTTCAAATATCTTACAATTTTGTCAATTATATCTCAAAAAATAATTTAAACAATTTTTGTGCATTAGACGGATATGCTTGGGAGAAGTACCACAGAAATGATGTACTCATGCTCTACCCCTGCGAAATCTCACTGACTCCTGAGTCTGTCTTGTTGGGGGAGAGTGAGTGTAGGAGGACTGAGGGGCTGTCTGAGCCTGGGGATGTAGGGGCTGAGGCAGGTCGAGGAGGAAAGCTGTCAGCCAGAGAGAGTTGGTAGGAAGCAGAGGAGTAATTGGAAAGAGGGGCCCCTGAGGACCCAGTTTTATCTCTAGTTTTTCCTGGATGAGGGGATAATGTTGAGGGCTTGTTTCTGCCAGATGAACCTTTGCTGCAGTTTCCCAGAACGATGACTCAAAGCTGGTCACTGTGTTCCTGTCTGGAATTTGGAGGGTAAGGTAAGGACTTGGAAGGGATTCAGGGGGCATTTAGTGAAATTGGGGCCAGATGAGTCCATTCTCCATCCTCCATCTTGGCAGTGATGCCATTGGAATATGGCTCCACTGTGATCGAACAGCCCGGGAAAAACAAAGCTTAATTATACCCTTACTTTTCTACTTTAATTATTTTCTAAAAACTATGTCTTTTAGAAATGAACTATCACTCTTGTCCCGACTGGAGGGAAGACTGCAGCAACAACTCTTTTTCTGTATTCTGGAACACGGTGTCCAAAAGGGTAAGAACCAAAGAACTTAAGAGGTCATCCTGTCAGTGGTTGGTTTTAATCCTTTTTGGATCAGAGATCCTTTTAGGAAAAAAAGTTTAGGATTCTTTCTTGAGAATAATGTACCTAAGCACATAACAGAAGATTTTCACATATAAGTTTAGGTCATTCATAGAGGGTCCATAAGCTTTAGTTGGTGAATCCCTGCTCTTACTCAGGTTTTGGCTTTGGTTCAGCTTGGTTTAATGCTCTGATCTAGGCGCTGGCCTAACTTAGGTCCCTGATCGATCTGAATAATCAATGTTTGCAGACCGTTTACTATGTGCCAGGTAGAGGCACATAGTACACGTATTAAAAGCTTTCATCCTCACAAGAATCCTATGAAGCAGGTACCATGTGTATCATACCCATTTTACAGATGACAGAATGGAGGTGCAGGTAAATACACTGTCTACTAACCATACACAGTAAGTGGCAGATCTGGGAGTTTATCCCAAATTCTCTGACTCCGGATCCAGAATTCCGGCTGGGAATTACTCCCATCATCCCTCCCCGCATTGCGCTCTATTTCTGACTTCACTCTAAGCTGCTTTGGTGTACATTTATTTTTCTTATGAGTTACTTCTCTGCAAGTGGACTAAGGAAAAAAGGAAAAGCAAGGAATAAAGAAAGAACTGGAGGAGAGAAAACCAGGGAGAAAGTAAAACAATACTATTTATAATTCTCCAGAATTGAGTTCTAGGCATCAGAGGAACTGGGCAAGTGAAACTCACATTTGCTAAGTGCATATTCATGACAAGTCCTGGGCCAGATGCCGTACCCGTGTCATCCCAGTTAGTCCTCACCATAGGGGCTGTGGGAAGGTGCAAAGACTCAGAGGTTAAATGACTCATCCAAGGTCAACAGGCTAGTTCGTAGAGGAGCTGAGAGCCTCACCATCCTTAAGGAGATTCAGGTAAACTCTAGTACGGTAGAGAGGAGGGGGATGGCCTGGGATTTGATGTAAGGAGACCATTTAAATGTGGACAGATTCTTTAACTGTTCTGACCTTCAGATTCCTCATTTGTCGAAGAGGGATAAGAATAATGCTTGTCCTGGGGCGCCTGAGTGGCTCACTCCGTTAAGCATCAGACTCTTGATTTCGGCTCAGGTCATGATCTCAGGGTAGTGAGAGCGAGCCTGTGTCAGGCTCCCTGCCCAGCGGGGGGTCTGCTTGAAGACACTCTCCCTCTACCCCCTCCCCATTCTCTCTCTGTCCCTCTCTCACTCTCTCAAATAAGTAAATCTTTAAAAAAAAAAAAAAAAGAATAATGCTTGTCCCATGGGGTTACTGCCATGTTTAAACAAGATACCCCTACCCCATTAACTAACTCAGAATGCATTCCTTTAGTGAATATGTTGAGTACCTACTAAGTGCTGTGTAATTGTACAGAGGCACTTATAAATTGTTGTTTGCTTGCTTGCTGTTTCTGAGAAAGGTTCCTACTTATTTTCTCACTCTCTGCTATATTTTGGGGCAGTGCTATTGTGAACAACTCTTAAAGCCAACCCACGTTTCATATGTGTCGAGCACCAACTTGGAGCTAAGAGCACAGTGGTGAAGGTGATGGAAGGGACCCTGCCATGGTGAGCTACCCTGGGGCTGCAGCTTTATTCTGGCTAATTGCTCACAGATGTACCAAGAAAACCTTGTTTTATCAGACGAGATCCTTCCTTTTTCTGACAAGAGAGGCAGAACTGCTTGGGGTTTGAATCCCCCTTGCACTTCCTTGCTTCCAAGTGATGTGACCTTGGGGCCAATTGACCCAATGCTTATTTCCTGGGGGCTCTTGAGAATCATAGATGGCAGCCTCAGTGCTTGGCCCCCGGAAGCACTCTGTTGACTTAGCATTTGTGATTGGTAGAAATCGGGCCCCTGTCCTCTGTTCATCACCCCCAGCAGAAAGACAGAAGCTGCGCTGGATTCTTACAGTTTGGTTTCAAATGGTTCAGTGGTGTCTCCTCCCCTGCAGAATACAGGTCAGATTCCTTGGCCAAGCATTCACAGCCCTCTGTGAACTCACTTTTCTAGCCAACTTTTGCATCCACTGAAGTTTTCACCAAAACCACTGTTTTCTCAAACCCCTAGGCCTTTCTGTTTGCACCTGCCTCAGCCTTTCCCGGGTGGGAGCCTATCTGTCCGGCAGGACCTAGCTTTTGTTGCCCTCTGCCTTGCCTTTTCTATTTCTTTCCTAATCTCCGTCACTAAGTATTTAGACTTCTTGCTTCTCTTCCCCTCCCTTCCTCCTTCCCTCTTTTCCCTCTGTAGATTTTCTCCGGGTGCCCGCTCTGTGCCATGCACCAGCTCCGAGCTCCAGGGCTGTGGTGGCAGGCAGGGTAGCCGGGCTCGAAGCTCTCAAAGAGCACTCAGTACCATCAATTTAGCAACCCTGTGAACAATGATGTTGACCTTCATTGTTCAAACATAGATTGGAGCAACCGCTTCCAGAATTCTCCTGTGAAGCATAATCCTGCCAATGGCTTAGGATGCAAATTATATACACCTGGCATTACTGAGGGAGAACTCTACAGGCTCTTCCCTCCTTAACCAGCTAATGCTAAGAGTTGTTTTGGAAGGAGCTGCTGGGGTGTGGCAATTAAATTTGCATGCTGAGGAATGGTGAGCTTTTTTTTTTTCTTTTAAGTTTGCAGAAGATGCCTGTGGTGTGGTCCATGTGGTGCTCAACGGGTCCATCAGAAACACCTTTGATGAAAGAAGGTACTCGTTTCTTTGCATCCTATTTGCAAGTGTTAGTACAGCCTCCTATTAAATATTTCATTTTCATGGTCAAGTCAGTACTGAAGATTTGGGCTAAAGAGGTAAAATATTTGTTTTCTATGGAGAGAGTTGTCTAAGTCAATGCTTTTGTCTGGTGTCTCCTTTGTGTAAAATCCTCTGAATGTCCTGTCGGCCCTTGCTCTGTGACCAGCGCCTCCTCTTGGCTTTTCAAGGCCTGGTGCAATTTTCTGAGCTCTCCCAACTTCCCTTCTTTGTTCATGCTGTTCCCCTTGTCCGGACCCTCTCCGCACTCCCCACCATCCATGAAGATCTGGCCTGGCTCCTCTGTCCTCCGTGAAGACTGTGCATCCCAGTTAAGCAGTCAGACCACTACTGTGCTGGGCTCTTGGCCTTCACGATCTCTTTCTAGGCATTGCCCATCATTTATTGTAGTGGTTGAAAGCAGGGGCTCCAGTCATTACCCGTTAACCTGTGTAAGCGTTGGCTGGGCACCTAACCTCCGGGACCCCCTGTAGTATGCACCAGAAGAGGTGGTGGTGGTGGTGGTTGGAAGATTAGCTGAGATGACGTATGACAAGGGCTGAGCTCTGTGCCTCATAACAGAGAGAGGGCTCAGTGGGTATCAGCTGTCATTCCGCATTTAATCCACAGCGCTGAACCTGGCCACACCGATGCCCTTCTTCTCTGACCTCCTTCTATACTTAGTTTTTACCACATTGGATACTTTTCCAGCCTTTGTTCTCCAGTATTTCCCTGGAAAAGGATTGAGAAGAGAGGCAGATACTGGTGGGCTGCTCCAGGCTCTCTGGATACCCCAAATGAATTTTCCTTCTCTCCTGTTTTAGTATTTAATTGTGCAACGAAGCATTTGTCCTTTTGTCTTCTTCTGACCCTAAGCTTGCAGGCTTTTGGGTGAAAGTGTTAACACTCCATGATTTTATAATCTGATATTCGGCGTCCAGCTACTTGCAATGGCTGTCAAAGACCAATGGGGAAGAGTTTAGGGCTGGAGTCTGAGCAGGGCACCAGGGCTCTCAGAGCAGTGCATCTCGAACCTCACTGAATGTGGGTCATCTGGGGACGGTTCCGCTGCAGATTCTGCTTCAGCAGGTGCTGGTGGGCTGAGATTCTGCAGGTCCAACTAGCTCCCAGATGATGCTCATTTTGTCAGTGCAAGGCCCCCCTCTTTGAAGATTAAGTATTTAAAGAATCACCATCAAGGTACTGATTAAGAATCTTATTTTGAGACTCTTATTCAATGAGGGTCACACTGAATGAGATTGGCTGGTTCTAGTGCAAATCACCGGTCAGTCCCAAAGGGCAGGTTCTAACCAGTGATTCCCTGCCTGCTGGCTCTTGACAAGGCCTGGGGATGGCTGAACAATTCAGTTTGGGGTTAACAATATTCTCTGCCTCTTCTATTGTAGCACTTTTGGACGTGTGGAAGTCTTTAATTTGCATCCAGAGAAGGTTAATAGACTACAGGCCTGGGTGATGCATGACATTGGAAGTGTTCACAGGTATATGTTCCTACTTTGTGCGTATATGTTCTCAGGGTGGTTTTCAGAATCAGTCCATGGAAGAAGCCACAATGATAAGAATGCATTGAGAACAGAGTGACCAGGAAATGACTGGGGCCTCCCTGGACATTCAGCCCATCCTAACAACCTCTGTTTCGTATCCACAATAAGTATCCATGCAGTTCACACTGTCAGCCCCCTGCTGCCCTGTGAGCTCTTAAAAACAACTTCTGTTCTGCTCTATCCCCCGGCCTGGCCCAGGGCTTGCTATCTAGAAGAAGCTGAGATCAGGAAATGTTTGCAAGAACCTTATCACTTAACTCTTCTTTCTTTCTTTCTTTCCCAGTGACTCATGCTCAAGTTCCTCCATAAATAATCTGAAACAGATTCTAAAGAGAAGAAGTATTACATTTTCTTGCCAGAATAATTACAGGTAATTGACTTCTTGAAAAAGAAATGGCTGTCTTGCCATCTGTAGGTATTTTCCTCTCCTCGGCCTCCTCTGAGCCAGGAGGGCGGCGGGAATCCCTCTTGGGCCTTGTTGGTGATCTGGGATGGTGACCTATGGTGAGTGTTCCTCCTCCCCCCCACCCCCCGGGTCACCCTACAGGCTGTTTCCAGCCAGTGGCCTTCCACTGGCCACCTTTCCCCCATCTTCCTCTTCCTTTCTTCTCCACCTGTCCCCAGTCATTGACTTGCCTCTGAAGCTGACCCAGATTTTGAGAACGTTATTTCCTGGTTTCCCACATGAGACACCTGACCCAGGGCTTGCAAACCTGCTGGCTTTCAGGGAAGTGGAGGGACATTTGTAAAATCCTTGTCACATGGCAATATTTTGCATGTGAAGTTTCTTTAGTTGGATCTCAGTGTAGATGCCTAATACTTGACAAGTTGCCACATGGATGTCTACTAAGCTTTATCTTTTATAAATTAGAAAATGTAAGATCTTAATTTTTTTTTAAAGATTTTATTTATTTATTTGACAGAGAGAGAGACACAGCGAGAGAGGGAACACAAGCAGGGGGAGTGGGAGAGGGAGAAGCAGGCTTCCCGCTGAGCAGGGAGCCCGATGCGCGGCTTGATCCCAGGACCCTGGGATCATGACCTGAGCCGAAGGCAGACGCTCAACGACTGAGCCACCCAGGTGCCCCTTATTTATTTATTTATTTTTTACCGGTAATACATGTTTATTGGGAAAAAGTTTAAAATTACAGATGGTATATATTTTTAAAGTCATCTGCAACTCTGTTATCCAAACTGAGACCCTCCCTCATTTTTAAGTAGTTGTGTCAGGGACTCCTTGCTAGAAGCATCTTTGGAGATTTGCCCATAAGTGATGGCTTAGAATAAAGATGCAGACAGAAAAATTTTCTCAAAGAACACAGAGGCTGGAATTCAAGAATCCTTTTCCTGTCTCCTCTGTCACCACCTTCTCCCACCAACCCTATCAGAAAGGCAGAAGGACAGATTCCAGGAACATTCACTGAGGGCTTTTGTCTCAAAATGACCTGAATTCCCCCTCAGTCAGCTGGCTCCTCTCTGGAAAGTGCCAGAAAATAACACAAGCTTTCTACCGCAGTTAGATGGGAAAACAAGCCGAACAAAAGAGCGAGAACAACTATAAAAGAAGCATTGCAGACATCTGACCAGTCTAAGTTATTCAAAGATATCTCGTGTTGGGAAAATAGAACACTAAACACCTAGGAGAAGATTGGGGAATGTACATGGGTCTTATCCTCAACACCCCCTTTTTTTCTCATTTTAATCATTCTCCTTTCTTTCATTAACGGCCATCAGTCAGCCTCATTCACGCCGACTGCAGGCTCCAGGTGAGCTCACTTTCTCCACCTGGGAAGAATGTAAAAGCATACCTTCCATCTGGACTTGAACAGTGGCCCATGTTGAAGGAAGTGATTTGCAAGCCAACACCTGTCATTCTGAGCATCAGCTTGTGGGACCTTAAATTTGGGGATCATATTTGAAATCACTTAGACCTTTCCTCCAGCCACAAAGTTGTAATATATTGAGCACGATTCTTTAAATTACCAGCTCTTCAGGGCCCCTTGTTGTATCTTAAAAGTTCTGTGGCTTTGCAAGAAAGCTGCTTGTCCCCACGGGAGCCTCAGGTGAATGTCAGGGATATAGACGTAGACTGAAGTTGAAATCACTCCATGCCAAACATACTTCCCAATTTATCAAACTTTTGTCCAGCTGTTGTGGTGTGATTGTGTAATAGGCAAACAGAAGTGTAAATACATTGATATGGATTAGACCTTCTACTGATTCTGCTGTTATCCCCTTATAAATCCCCCCCGGAGACAAATGCTATTAACATTTGGCTGTATATCCTGCAAGTCCTTTTCTTTTTCCCCATATACACACTCACACTCCCGATGAAATATATACAGAATTTCTTCACATATGTTCTAACCAGCGGAATGAACAAAGTCATAGTACTTTTTTGGATGACCTTAAAAATATCAGCATGTTTTTTCCTGGTTAGTGCCCCCTTGTGACATATTTATTAAAAACCTAAAGGGTGCACTTCTTCCTCTATGTTACTTCAAAATACACTCCCTCTCTATCCATCAATGTGTTATCCAACATATCCAAAGTGTGTCCATTGTATTGTAACATTGGATGTGAATATTTACATAACTGTGGAAAGAGATCATCGTAACGGCATAATTGCTGTTAATAATTACTTTCCCCCTGGAAAGTATTCATGTGGGGCTACCATATTGGTGAGGATGGAGTGACTCTACACTTAGAACCGCTGTGCCCAGCCTGTCATGGTAGTTGGCCAGAAGTGAGCCTGAGATGGCCCATTCCAGAAGCCCAGGGGTGCTGGTAGCTGCTTCTAAGGATCTCTCTCTTTCTTGACTCACATTTAGCAAAATCAGATTCAGCTACAATTTAATGAACCACATTCCTTACTATCCACCCTTCTCCAGAGGCCAGCCACTCCCATCGGACCCTGTTGTTTTCTTACCTCATTTTTATGAAACAGAGAGCCACTCACCGGCTAGATTCTTATCTAGGATTTGTTCTGTGCAAAGGATGTGTGGTCTTCCTGCTGATGGCTACCAGCCTTCCCCCAGAGAGTCTCTACCCTCTCTTCTGCCCCTGACCCTATGGCTCAGCCCTCTCTCAGGAAGCTTCTGCAGAGAAGAAGGCATATCATCAACAGAAAAGATGGAGGTCTCTCATCTCAGGTTGCTGCCTCTGTTGTGTCTTGATCGTTAGCTGACATTCATAGCATGTGTCTGTGACATGTTTGAGCCACACATTTGTTTTCATTTCCACACGTTATCATCAAACATCCCTTCTCAGTATTTATTTCTATGGCTTTACAAGTGAAATGAAACATAATCGGGCCGTACTTTAAGTTGTTCATTCCTGGACTTGAACTTTCTCTGTGTTGTCACTGCAGGAGAGGAAGCTGTGTGGATGCTGAGTGGTCCATGCATACTTTTGTTGCTAATGAAGGGGCTACTTGTATTGGGGAATTGAACCATAGATGTGGTGTACTGCTGATTGATCTTTTTTTTTTTTCCCTTTTCTTTCTTGTCATAGGCCTATCAGGCTTCTTCAGTGTGTGAAAAATCCTGGGCATTCATCTTGCGGATCTTACATATGAGCCAATCAGCACGGTCGTTTCAGATCTTTGAGCCTTGCAGTATACATTGGCACTCGTGATTCAGGAGACACGCTGCTGGGAAGCTGAAGACTTGGGGGGGAGGAGATCTTCTGTCATGATGCCAACACTAGAGTTAGAAGCTTTTCCCCCAAACTTTTAAAATAACATGTTATTGGCATAGTTTTTATTTTGATTTCCTAAAACTCATGAAAAAAAATTATGGTATAAAATTAGAATGAAAATTTTATATTAAGTTATTTCATTTTAATTTTCATAGGTGCTTTTATGTTGTTTATATGTTGGTAGCATCCTTTCTGTTGAAAATGACTATACCAAACCTCTCTTATTGGTGCAGGTAATTGAGAGAAAGTAAATGACCATGAATGACCTTGTCTCAGGATATATTTTTGTACCCTTTCTACAAATAAAGTATAAATGCCGTGGTTATGGGTCATGTTGGGGAACGAATTCTATAGGATATAAGCTACTCATGTGCTTTACCTCCCACTCTTCCAACAGCCCTATGAGGTTCGTACTGTTAACTCCCATTTGTTAGGTAAGAAATGGAAGTTCAGAGAGGTTATATAATTTGCCTAAAGTCATACATTTAGTTCAAGGTAGAGGCTGGATTTCAACTCAGCTCTGTCTGACTCCAAAATATATATGCTCTCTTTCTAGGCCTATAATACAAGCTGACATGCTTTATGTTCTCTTCTAATAAATGCATGTTGGATTAAATTGAATATAATAGAATCCGAACTGTGGTTTTTCTTTTTTTTTTCTTTTTTTAAGATTTTATTTATTTATTTGACAAAGAGAGACACAGCGAGAGAGGGAACACAAGCAGGGGGAGTGGGAGAGGGAGAAGCAGGCTTCCCGCCGAGCAGGGAGCCCGATGTGGGCCCAACGCCAGGACCCTGGGACCATGACCTGAGCCGAAGGCAGACGCTTAACGACTGAGCCACCCAGGCGCCCCCGACCTGTGGTTTTTCTGGGTATCTTCAAAAACAGATACATTTTTTTCCCTCTTGATCCTCTCCCTTTCTCCTCCTGCTCGGTGTCTTACATATATAATAGGCAGTTAAAATATGTATATTTGTTCCTGATACTGGGAATTTGTTCTCCTTTTCTTCTTGATTAGTCTTGCTTGGGGATTTATCACTTTTATCACTCTTTCAAAGAACTAACTTTTAGTTTTGTTTTCTCTTTCTATTTAATTGGTTTTCACTCTTCTCTTTATTATTAGGGATATAAAAATTCCTTCTAATTTCCTTGGGTTTCCTTATTCAGCTTCTTAAGATGGAAACTTAGATCATTGATTTTTCAGCACACTTTCTTTTTCCATATATCACTTAGTACTATAAATTTTCCTCTGAATGCTGCTTTAGCTCCAGATCTTAAGTTTGGTATGTCTCTTTTTATTATCATTTAGTTAAAAATATTTTCTAATTCAATTGTTATTTAGAAATGTGTGGAGTTATTCTTAGAAAATATATTGTAAGCCCTAAGGAGTGATTGTGGAAGGAGCTAAAGGTGAGCTGCGTTTCTGTTCTCGGGCTATTGAACACAATGGCCCAGTAGGAGCAGGATCCCATGATCCCCAGGGGAGGGCATAAGTTAGGAGCTATGAAAGAATGTGACCCTCAGTCCCCCCTTTCTGCACTTGATGACTGCTAGCCCAAACATCCCACTCTTCCCTTTTCCCATGACTAAACCCCCCGCATGCCTATGTGTAGGGGAGAGTGCAAGCCTGCTTCAAGATATTTGCCATCCCTTTGTACTCTTTCCCATGATTTGAGGCATCTGTCCTTGCTTTTCTGATAAAAAACAAAATAAAAGCTATGTGCAAGATTCAGCTGCTGCTGCTCTCCTTTGCAGAGGCAGCCCTGCATGGCTGCTCAGAATGGTGTCTGAGAACTTTATTTCAGTGAGCGATGACAGAAATGTGTTGCCTAATTTTCAAACATCTGGAGATTTTCTAGGTTTTTTTTTTTTTCCCTAAATGTAGATTTGTTGTTGGGCGCCTGGGTGGCTCAGCTGGTTAAGCGACTGCCTTCGGCTCAGGTCATGATCCTGGAGTCCTAGGATGGAGTCCTCCATGGGGCTCCCTGCTCAGCAGGGAGTCTGCTTTTCCCTCTGACCCTCCCTCCTCTCATGTGCTCTCTCTCTCTCTCAAAAAATAAATAAAATCTTTAAAAAAATGTAGATTTTTTTTAAGAATAAACTAATTTGAGGGTCTCTCAGGGAACCCATTAGATTTGTTGAAAACAGCATAAATTTTGGAGTCAGCTGTTTCTGGGTTCATATTTTGGCATTGCTCTGTAATCTTGAATGAAATACTTACCCTCTTTGAACTTTGGCTCCCTTGCCACTCAAATAAGGATTATCATTTACCCCCCTGAAGTTATGGTGGGACTAAAAGATGACAACAATTAACAGTGTAGTTTGGTGCCTCATAGGTCAGCAAGCATTCCACAAAGGTTGGCCCCTTTCTGCTGGCCCCTGGCTGGCAGTCCAGTTTCCTTCAGGAGTCATGGCAGCTGTAGCCACTGTAGGCAGTCAACAGATTCTTCTTATGTGGCCCTCGTGTACACATATGCACATCCTCACAGGCTTTAGTTTGGGCTGGACATGAAGATGGATGCTCAAGACCAGTTCTGATTAAGACTCAGGCTTGCCCCAGGGTTCAATGAACTCCATCTGCAGAATGTCTTCAGTGATAAGTCCCTGCTAACCCCCCGGGTGACCTGGCTGTTTTCCTCTCAGGACCCTTTCTGCCTTACTGTTGGGCTTTCTTGATGATTTCTGGACTCTCTAATGTATCTTCCTTCTTCACCAGGATACCCCTTGAAGTATCAGAAAAATTTTGTTCTTTACATCCATTCCCTTCCACAGATGAAACAGATAGAGTAGCAGTCAGTTTGCAAGAGGCTTCCCCCAAGAAGACTCAGTTGAGTGTTCAAATTCAAAGCTGGTGAAGACTAAGAGGAGGCTGGTCCCGAGGTTTTCACACTGTGCACAGAGAACCCCAGCGAGCTCTGGGAGTATCGGGGGACTGGGGCCCTCTTTCCTTGCATGCCATCTCTGTATCTTCATTCCCATGATGCCCATCCCTGCCCCCTGTCTCTCTGCATTTCCAACTTTGGGTATCTTTGCATGACCATGACCATGCAGCCATCTCTAGTCCTAAGGACCTTCTGGCCTACCTATATGAATATATCCTTCATATCCCTCTTCTTATAAGTGACGTCCTCACTGAATTACTGACTGCTTATAGCCTCATACTTTACTCATCAACCTGCTGCTCCCTGTCTCCCCACTCCATTCATGCTTGCTCTAGAATATGCTCTTACCATCCCAACTTGTACCCACCAACATACTTAACCCGAAGGATGTAACCTAGGACCTAAGTTCCCCTTTTCTCACTCCCAAAGGCTCACTATTTTCCTTCTGTAGTGGTTCTTTTGTTTTGTTTTGTTTTTAATTTTTTTATTGTTATGTTAATCACCATACATTACATCATTAGTTTTTGATGTAGTGTTCCATGATTCATTGTTTGGTAGTGGTTCTTGACCTTATAATATTTGAGACACTCTTTAAATACAGTTCTGAATTTTAGGTTGAATACTTGAAAGAAGACACACATATAAACACATGCATATATATATATATATGTATATATATATATATATCTTGTTGGAAACAAGCTCAGCTCATGTCTGCACACTCTCTGATACAAAGGACCCAGCAGGAGCAGCGCTGATTTACTTCCTGGCATCTCATTTCTCCTTAAAAAATTCCTACGACTGTGACTTGAGTTTCTCAGGTAGAATCCATACTACACAGGAGGTTTGTTTTTTAAAAGGCAAGGATAAATGTTACTCATGGCAAATTAAAACTGTATGAAGTAAGATGTTAAAGTAAACCTAAAGTATACTATAACTTTGAAAGGCATTATGTGCATGCAGTGTTAACCCAGGCATTCTCCCAGTTTTTTGTAAAAAATAATGAAGCAGTTAATTTATTTATACTACTAAGAGTTGTCATTTTTAACACATATGTTTTTAAACAATTCATCGGGAACTCAGTAGCTGGGTGTGCTTCCCTGAGAGGCAGTGGTTTGCTGGCTTTCACATCATACTCACAAAACACAGAAGGCTTTGTACTGGTCCCTGACGGGGCATTTATCCTCGAACTTGATTCACATAGATGCACAGTGCCGTTCATCTTCTGATCAAAGTGTAAGCCACCCAAGGTAGTGAAAACCATGCAATTAACTCACAGTGACCCACTGGGCAAATGCATGGCTTCTGTGAATCTCAGGTTCACAATGTACTTATAATAGACATAAATAAATTACACAAACAATAAAAGAATAATAAAAGACTGTGGAATCATTTTTTTAAACAGTTACCTCTGCAAATGCCAGATGATCTCATGTATATGTGGAATTTTAAAAAGTCAGACTCAACAGAGAGTAGAGTGGTGGTTGCCAGGGGTTGGGGGTGGGAGAAACAAGGAGACAAACCTGGTCGGGGGTCTGAACTTTTAGTTATAGGAGGAATACGTTTTGGAGACTTAATGTACAGCATGATGACTATAGTTAATAATAGTGTATTGTTGGGCGCCTGGGCGGCTCAGTTGGTTAAGCGACTGCCTTCGGCTCAGGTCATGATCCTGGAGTCCCGGGATCGAGTCCCACATCAGGCTCCCTGCTCGGCAGGGAGTCTCCTTCTCCCTCTGACCCTCCCCCATCTCATGTGCTCTCTCTCTCTCTCATTCTCTCTGCCTCAAATAAATAAATAAAATCTTTAAAAAAAAATAATAGTGTATTGTTTACTTCAAATTTGCTAAGAGAGTAGATTTCGAGTGTTCGTATCACACACACACGATTATGTGAGGTGATACGTTAATTAGCTTAATTGTGGTGATTGTTTCCCAGTGTTTATGTATATCAAAACATCACATGTATACCTTAAATACATACAATTTTTTTGGTCAATCATACCTCAATAAAGCTGGAAAAAAAAACCCACAGTCACTTCTGGCTTGAAGAGAGAATCAAGTAAGTGATGCACTGCCAAAGGCAGTAAGTCCTCTCATGCAACCCCATCCCAAGACCGGGGGAGTTGGACAGCTGGAAACGGGATGTATCATCATCCTGAGTGTGTCTCATAGGTGAGGGAGGCGCCAATAGATGCCCAGAAGAGTCTGAACTTACAATCTGTTGAAAAGCCAAAAGTCTTCATACACCCCTTTTTATCCTTTGAGATATTGAAGAAGAAATAGTGCTGTTTGTCTTCTAGCAAGAATCTCAGCTTTGAGAAACATCTTTGTTCTCTACAGAAGAAAATTTACCTTGAGACCTCCCAGGAGTTTAATGTGATAACATAGCGCAATGTGTGATTCTTAATAAGGTCCATAAATGTGAAACACCATTTAAAGGCTTGATGCACAATGCAGACCTGCAGAGAAGAGAAAACTAATGTGTGATATATCAGGCACTTCACATTTAATATCAGCCAGTGATCTCAGCCACAACAACAAAATGCAACTCTGGCTGGAAATAAATTTCTAGACAATATCAACAGCTTATAGATTCTCCAGGAGGGCAAGAAAACAGTTTGGAAGCCTCTTAGCCAAGGACAACACCCAAAATTACTCCACAGACTGGTCAGATAGAGGAATTGTTCTTGTCCTGAGGACACTTGGCTGTCATTTCATCATTGCCAGATGCGGC